GGAGGTGGAAGCCTTGGAGTCAAGCCTTGGCTCAGCACCTCCCAGCTCTGACTGTGGGCCTGTCTTCCACCATCTCTCTGAACTCCAGACACTCCAACAGCAAAAGGGATCTTGGCCCAGCACAGGGCTCCATGAAGTCTCTTAATCTCTAATCTTCTGCAGCTGAGACCTCCTACAAGCTGGAAGAATGATTGCAAATCTGACATCCTTCTCAAGAAAAATGCAGTGTTCTCCCTGCATTCCTAACTGGAGGATAAATTCCTGGGGGCTTGAAAGAGGGAAGGGAAGGGAACATCTAGTGAGGGTGAGGTGTTTCAGAGAAGTTCCACTTGCCAAGGAATGAGCTCCTGTTGGTCATGAGGCAACCCTGGCTGACTCAGCAGAGCAAGAGCCTTGAGTAACAGAGAACAGAGCTCATGCACGCACACTTCGACTCACTGACTCATTCAGCCACGGCCCCATGCTCAGGCTGTGCAGTTAGAATCCTTTCCTGTTGTTACCATAACAAATTTCCACAAAATTGGTGGATGAAAACAAAACGGCTTTTTAATTATCTTACAGTGCTGTAGCTCAAAGGATGAAATGCACCTCACTGGGCTAAAATCAAGGTGACAGCAAGGCTGCCTTCCCTCCGAAGGTTCCAGGCGAGAATCTGCTCTTCACATGTCCCAGTTTCTAGAGGCTCCCACATTCCTTGACTCCTGGTCTCCTTCCTCCTTCCTCAAAACAGAGCAGGAGAAAGCTGGGTCTCCCGCCATCAGGCCGCTTGTCCTAAGGAGACATTCCACATGGTTACCTGTCAATCAAGAAAGGAGAGACAATCCATAACAAGGAACTGCTATGATTAGCTTCTTATTGGAGTCTCTTCTTCCTCCAGGTATCCCCAGACACCTGCATGTTCTGATTGGGACCTCAGTGGTCATGATCCTCTTCATCATCTTCTTCTTTCTCCTGCATCGCTGGTGCTCCAACAAAAAGAGTAAGTCTCACGAAGCAGAGGCCACAGACCTCAGGGTCGTGTGGGGAGGCGGGATGGGAGCACGCAGGTGTGTGTTCCTCACTGGCAGGATGGTCTCCGGCCCAAGGCAGGAGCCACAGAGGCAGAGCTTTCTAGAGAGAGCACCAGACACCCTGTCCCTGCCTTCAGCTCACAGACCATTGCCTGATTCTCAACTGTATCCTCATGTCCCTGCAGCCACTGACATCCAGGAGAAGGTTCCATGACAGGCAGAAAGAGGGAGGCAGAATCAATGGGATGGAAATTGAGAGCCGTTCATGGGAAAGAGTCTTGAACTCAGAGAGACAGAATGTCTGAGTCTGGCTGTTGGCAGCTGAGGGACCTCAGGCACCTACAGTCTCCCCCTGTGTGTTGGGCTCTGCACATGAAATGAGGACCCAGACGTGCCCTCCCAGCTGCTTTGATGACTTTTGTCTCCTACAGATGCTGCTGTAATGGACCAAGAGCCTGCGGGGGACAGAACAGTGAACAGGGAGGTAGGTCCTCCTCACCCCAGCCTCATGGATAGAATCTTATTCCCTAATAGTCCTGAAGAATGTGAGCCCCGCCCTCACTCAACATTTCCCTCTCTCCAGGACTCTGATGAACAAGACCCTCAGGAGGTGACATACACACAGTTGGATCACTGCGTTCTCACACGGGGAAAAATCACTCGCCCTTCTCAGAGGCCCAAGAGACCCCCAACAGATACCAGCGTGTACACGGAGCTTCCAAATGCAGAACCCAGATCGAAAGTTGTCTCCTGCCCATGAGCACCACCGTCAGGCCTTGCAGGGGTCTTCTAGGGAGACAACAGCCCTGTCTCAAAACCAGCTTCACAGCTCCAATGTACCAGCAGCAGGACTCTGAAGCTGTGAGTCTGCATCTTAGGGCATCGCTCTTCCTCACGCCACGAATCAGAACGTGCCTCTCTCTTGCTTACAAATGTCTAAGGTCCCCACTGCCTGCTGCAGGGAAAACACACTCCTTTGCTTCGCCCACAATTCTCCACTTCACTTGACCCCTGCCCACCTCTCCAATCTAACTGGCTTACTTCCTAGTCCTACTGGAGGCTGCGATCACACTAAGGAACTCACAGTTCCAAACATACAAGAGACTCCCTCTTAACACGGCACTTAGACACGTGCTGTGCCACCTTCCCTCATGCTGTTCCACCTGCCACCAGACTATCTTTCAGCCTTCTGTCAGCAGTGAAACTTATAAATTTTTTTTTCATTTCGATGTAGCTCTCTCCTCTTCAAATAAACACCTCTGCCCTCATCCTTTAGGTAATGTGACTCTTTATTCGCCGAAAGTTTCTGGTGTTATCGTTACTATGTCCATATAGCCCCATGTGTTCTCCACTGGGTTCTCACCCCTGGACCCTGAGCTTCTGGAAGCAGGTGGAGCCTGATTTCTGTCTGGAACTCCAATTTCCATCCAACGATGCAGCGCATAGAAGGTTGCAAGGATCGTGAATCAGATGAACAAGTGATATTCTTACTCTCTGCAGACCTGGAAAGCTGGCAGAGCCATTCCAAGATGAAACATCTGTAGAGTCATAGGCCTTGTTAGTCTCATCTCCACGGGGACACACGTCCACACATCATCTTTCATACCATAAATACACAGTCACTCCTCCAGACCTGTGGGGTTTACAGGTGTTTATTGAACCAACTATAAATCAAAAATATTCAGAGAAAAAATCCACAAAGTTCCAAAAAGCAAAACTATGTTGAATGAATACAGATGAAGCAGTGTGTAGGCTGTATTCGGAATTATAAGTAATCTAGAGATGATTTCATGGACACAGGAGGATGAGGATGGGTCATATGCAAACCCTGTGCCATTTCATGTAAGAGGCTTGAGCACCTGCAGGTTTTGGTATCTGAGCAGAGATCCTGAAACCAATCACCCGCGTATAGTGAAGGATGACTGTATATAATTTTTATTCATGAATTTTAGAAATAAATCCTCAAAATGCACAATAAGATAAAACAATAAGCAGTGTTTTTACAGTGTGAAAATAAGCTTAGATTTATTTTTTCCTACATGTAACCCTCTGGTCCAATGTTATTTATGGAGAAGACATTCTTTTCCACCTTAACCCACACGGCAGCCTCTGTCAACTATAAAGGGACTTTGTGTACACGGATGTATTTTACACTCTTTCCTGCTTAGTGGCTCTCTTGTGTCCACTCTCACGAGGATGCTGCACCTTATGTAGCCTTAGAGAACCCCTTAACATTTGGTAGCCTGAATCCTCTAATTTCTCCTTCCTCTTTAAGATTGCCATTATTATTATTATAGGTTATTTGCTTTTCCATGTGAATTTGTAATAATTTTTCTCATTTTCACCAAAAACAATGCTTGTAATTTTGTTGTGACTCCCTTAAATCTACAGAAAAAGTTCTGTCCTGTAGAAACATCATGCAAACCACATACATTCTTTTAAATTCGCTAGTATCCAAAATAAAAAGCTAACAAGAAACAGATAAAATTAATTTAAGTTAATCCCATAGACCCATAATATCCTTAGCCCAATAGACCCAAAATATTAACCTAGTAGATCCAAAATATTATTTTATAATCCAAATAGACTCAAAATATTATCATTTCAACATGTAATCATGTGTCCTCTTGGAAAATATCAGATCCCTGTCTAGGTGGGCAAAGGTTTTTCTTTGTAATATCTCATTTCCACATTTCCACTTGGTGCAGAAACTGCCCCCAAGGTTCAGGATAATAAGAGGCAGTAGGAAGGATGTATCTGCAGGAAAATGACTAAATGAAATTGAGACACCACAGTTTGGGGAACTCACTAGAACTACAGGGTCAGTGTAGGGGAGGGAATTGGGAGATGTTGATCAAAGGATGCAAAGTTTCAGGTATTCAGGAGGAATCAGTCTGAAGGTCTCTTATACAGCTTGACCACTATAGTTGACAATACTGTACTCTATACTTGAAATTTACCAGGAGAGTAGATTTTTTTTTAATATGGAACACTTCACGAATTTGCGTGTCATCCTTGCATGAAGGATGCATGGATGGCATCCCCTAGGGGCCATGCTAATCTTCTCTGTATCGTTCCAAGTTTAGTATATGTGCTGCGGAGGCGAGCATGGGAGAGTCAATCTTAAGGGTCCTCACCACGAAAGAAAGAAAGTAAAGAAGGAAAGAGAGAGAGAGAGAGAGAGAGAGAGAAAGTAAGGAAGGAAAGAGAGAGAGAGAGGAAGGAAGGAAGGAAGGAAGGAAGGAAGGAAGGAAGGAAGGAAGGAAG